CCGCCACAGCCCAGCAGGGGCAGAGCCGGAGCTGCAGGCCCAGTGTGCAGCCGCCCGTGGCCTAGGCCGCAACGCCTCATTCGAACTAGGCACCGCAAATAACCAGGCCAGGCCCAGCTAGGAAGATTGCCTGGGGCTCACCGGCTCCTGCTAGTGCTGGTAGAACCTCCCCCACCATCTGTTGGAGTCAGCAGGAGGTTTCCCATTGATTCTGGGGGCTTTGTGCTCTCGCCCATCCTCGTTGCTCCCCTTTGCGAGCAACGATTCCCCCGCCAGAACGCTCAGAAAAGACGTCAGGCCGAGGAAGAGGCACTTGCGGGAAGCGATTGAGAAGCTGGGTTGCCTACTGGGAGGATTCCCCCTATCGCCAGTGCCTGCAAACACCCCTACTTTGGAGAGCAGCCCTCCTCACAGAAGCCCTGCTGCAAGATGTATGGAGAAGGCTGCGTCCCTCTGCATCCATTGAGAGGCAGGAGCTGGCACTAATTGACCCCAGCCAAGTGTTTGGCTGAGTATTCACCAAGCCAAACCCACTTGAGGATCACCCCGTCCTGCGCAGAACCAATCACCGGCAGCTACCTTCCGGCCTCATCCCCTTCCTTCCTCCCCACCTGCTGCAAGGGATTTGGGGCTCTGCACTGGGGCGAGGGAACAAGATGGGTAGGGAGGAGGAGCAGGGATGCCCTGTGGAGAGTGCTCTGCCCTTCACGTCAAAAGCCCTGGGAGCAGCCGAGTCCAGGAGAGAGTTCATGGTAGCGCGCTTACGGGGGGGGATGCTACCGGCCACTGTGGAATCCGGGCCCCTTGCAGAGTCCAGGGGACCCGGGAATTTGAGAGCAGGCCCCATGGACCTTCTGAGGAGGTTACTCTCACATGAATTACTCAGTGTCTCAGCTGCAACCCAAGACCCATTTCCAGCAGTGTTGTATTTATGTACCCAAACCCAACTCCCCACACTAGCCCACAAAATCGGGCTGCAGATTTTGTTTACCAACCTTTCTTCTATCTGTCCATATTCAAAACGATCCAGTCTGCTTCCCACTACCAAGCATTTGTCCTGGTCCAGACTGTCGATTTCTAGTAGGCAAGAAATGTAAGACGGGGGGCTGGACAAGTTACTCAGGGAAGTGGGGTTGAGTTTCCATGTGTTGCTGTAGGGTTTTGTTCCCCCTTGGATCATTCCATTTGCTGTTGCTCTTGCAGAAAGTGTGCCAGCACCCAAGGCACCCGCAGTAGCCACTGCCAACCTGATGGTGAATACCGAGCCGTTGGAACAGCCAGAGATGGGTGAGTAGCAATGCACGCAGCAGTACCTGAGTGGCAGGTTCCGTAATCACCTGTCTTGTGACTCTACTAGGCCCTCCGCAGGGTGGGTCTGATCTAGTCATTCTGACGACATGAGTGGGTTTGGATCAGACCCTTGTGTACTTGCATGGAAACGAGTGATGTTGTGGCAATTTGCACCAGCGGCGCATCGGCCCCTCCATTTCAGTTCCCAATGAAGTGATTCCCTCAGACGGTGCAAAGAGCCGGGGAAGTTCTCTTCAGGATTCTGCAGGCCTGACTCTCTGCAGGAAGTTTCACTGATCTCAGTGCGACTGCTCAGGGAGCCAGGTCCAACTCCCTGGACCCGGCCCAAAACTCATTTCAGGCAACAGGACTTTTTCCATCCATTTCAGTGGCCTTCGGATGAGTCTGCATGGGTATGTCTACACTACCCTCCTAGTTCGAACTAGGAGGGTAATGTATGCATACCGCACTTGCTAATGAAGCCCGGGATTTGAATTTCCCGGGCTTCATTAGCATGAAGCCGGCCGGCACCATTTTTAAATGCCGGCTAGTTCGAACCCCTCAGGGTATGTCTTAACTACCCTCCTAGTTCGAACTAGGAGGGTAATGTATGCATACCGCACTTGCTAATGAAGCCC